AGTTCCTTTGAACAAATAGCTAAAGTAGAGTTTAAATGTTTGTTTACAAACTATCAACTAACCAAAACTAAAGGCGAGAGGAAGAAAGTTCAAGTTTCACACTTCAAGCTCCAGGAACCACTTGCCAAGTTGTCGGACCATAAATGAAGAGCTGGCATTGGAAAGAATGAAGGCAAGAATTCAATTTACCTACACTATTCCTCAAATGTGTCTAATAGTTTTTGAACAGAATATTAACATAGATGGGTTTCACCAAAATCATGGAGTTTGGAAGCTCTCTTGGATTCATCCTTTCAATCCCCCAGCTAATATCAATCAATAGATTTAACTTTTTGATGCTCAAACACAGCTGAGCCTTGGCTGAAGGTTATCTTAAAACCAATTGCAAGAAAAACAAGCTCCACTGAGCTGGAAATAATCCAGATTATCATCCATTTCCCCCTCGGTCTTCTGTTTTATAAACATCGCCATGGCTCAACACATCTAAGAGGAGACACAACATTACCCACAGTTCTCATCCTGTTTGCTAACTAATTATATCAACAACCTGAACCAACTTAACACTATACAAAAACACAGCTGATTTAGCAATCTGTAAATTATACATGTACATAAATCTGTACCAAAATGTGCTGCGTCTCACTCCTGCTAATGTGCATGGATTCTCACTGGCACCTACGATTGTTTGATATAGGTTCCTGAACACTGAAACATATGTTCTGCCTAGAATGGGACCATTTAGTAATATTTTTGGAGTTTCCTGGCATCAAGGTCTGCCAGCCTTTCTAAGACAGATCTCCTATTTGCTTCAGCAAGCATTCTGACAAGTGTCTGCAGATTTAAGCAGCCATCAAAAAATATTCTGGAACAACATTTCCCAACCAGGAGCATAAAAAGAAACAGGCTGGCTTTGCCTATGTGAAAACAAAGCCAGCAGGATTTTTTTTTTAAGAATTATTTTATTAATTTTATTTACCTTTTTTTTGTTGTTGTTTTTCATTTGATTACAGAAAGAGAGACACAGAAAGTGAGAAAGCAAGCCACCAGGTCCAGGACTTGAACTGCTGTCAATGGGGGAATTCAGTGACTTAACCACCATGCCACCTGCCAACCCCATCCAGTGGGATTTTAAGTGATCATTGATATGACAATAAGCAAAATCAAATCATATCTGGGCTACTGATCATTCCTACCGACGACTTAGGACAATCCAAAAAATGGATCAGCAAACCTTTTCTTTGAATCATATTCAAAATGTATCAAGGTAAGTTAAAGTAAGTTTCAGTGCCAGGGCCTAGTAAACACCATAAATAAATAAATAATATATTTGGAGAGGATTTTTGCCATAGGGTGTGTGCGCTCACCAGAAAGACAGAGAGTGACAGAGAGGCAGAAAGCAGGAAATCACCCCCCAAGGGGGATGGCCATGCCGCAATCCCTTCTCTTCCATCCTCTTCTCAGGATCTTGGGCACGCACGCACATGCACCCAGTGTGAGTTTAACCCACTGGGTCCAGGACTCGAACTACAGTCAACTACATGGGAGTCCAGTGACATAGCCATTATGCTAACTGCTGGTCCCAAAATATTTTAAAAATACAATGGCAGGCCTCAATAACAACTACGCCCATACAACACTGCAGAACAGGAGCCAAATCTTGGACCAAGAATCACTAGACTGGAACTTCCTAAAGGTGAAGATTGTTTCTTGTTTTCCATGATAGTTCCAATCTTCAGTACATTCACTCAATAAATCTTTGTGGAAGAAATAAGCCAGTAACTGCTGACAAATCCCTGATCTGCCTCTAACTGCCTTTTTCTAACTCTGCTTCTTAACCAACTATAAGTAAATCACTTAACCTGAGGATTCTTAGTTCCTTAAACTCTAAAATAGAGACACACTTCCTCTACTGGCTTATGAGGGTTAAGGGTGATGCTCTATGAAAAGTGACTTGGTACTTAAGAGCAGGACACAAAGGGGCACACAGATATTAAAGTGTCTGTTATCCTGCCTATGTCTTCAGCTAAACCACTGACAAAGGTAAAAAGACTGCACTTCCTCAAAATATAATTAGCCTCTCCTTTGCCCTATTATTCTGTTTGGATGTGGTAGCATGGCTGTTAGCCAAAATGGATGTTGTGCTTGTTGTTATAACATTTTATTTCATCTCCACTGGGAAATTATGTTTCTTGAGAGAAAATAATGGTAATCCAAGGAATCGTGTTACATGGTGTACCGTAAAGAACTTGAACAGTGGAGTCACAGGGCTTGGGGAGTCATCAGTCCTGCCCCTAGTATTGGAGAACAGTCACAGGCATCAATTTCTTTATCTGTACAATGATGAGGAAGGAGAGGAAGACTACATAGTATCATGTCTACCGGCAGGGCCAGGTAGTGATGCAGCAGGGCCAGGTAGTGACGCAGCAGGGCCAGGTAGTGACGCAGCAGGGCCAGGTAGTGATGCAGCAGGTAAATGGCCACACGCTGCAAGGCTGACCCACATGTGAAAGTTCTGGGTTTGCATCTGGAGAGGGATATCTACCTGAGGCTGGCTGAAGCTGAGGATGGACTGTAGCGTCAAGACCCTGTTGGGAGTCCTGTCTGTCTCTTTCTCTTCCTCTCTCTGTCTTACTCGTGGAAGAGATAAACTTTCTTAAAATATGATTATAAAGTATTGCTATTTAAAGGTAAACTGCTATTCAAATACCGTAATGTCCAAAAATAGGTTGGTGAATTTTAGGAAGAGACGATCAATATTTTTTAAATAGACTCTTTCCATCACAGCATAATAATATAATGCACGCAGATATTGTGATATTTCTAAAAGTTTACATATTTTTTCCATTTGCGTTCAAGAAATCTTATGAAAGGGATCACTAAAAATTTAAATCCCACATTTTAAGATCAGCACCTTTTCTTCTGAAATAAGAGATCATTTTAAAAGTTCATCCAACTCCCCCATGAGCTGTTTCGTTTTTGTCATTGATGTTGCTCGTTCGGTTGGTTAACTGAAATCAAGCTGTTGGAACTGGTGCTAAAATGAAAATGCCAGTGCTAAAAATATTCCCAGCCACTTATTCTCCTGACATTCTATGTCTGCTTATAGAGGGGAAGTGTCTCTAAGAAAGAGCAACTCAACTAGGAGGAATGCTGCCTTCTCCACTCGAAGACTCTTAAGATCTCTCCCCAACCCAAGAAACCTTACTGGCGGTAACATGTAAGATGCTTCCTGCTCCCTGCACTCCAAAACCTATCCAGTATACCGGAGAGACTGAGTTCCCTCTCCAACTTCACCAAAAGTGGAATTGTCCGTGATATTTATGAGAGGTCCTCAACTCTGTAAGATTGTCCTTCTACCCCCAACAGGCCAATAACAACAGCAATAGCAGCGGGATAACTCATAAATAGTGATTTTGTTTAAACACTCATGAACACCGCCAGCTTTTTTTTTTTTAATGGCAGCAGAGTTCATTTGGCTGTTCCTGTGTAAGTATCCTCTCCAGGTGTGTGACCTTGCTCTAAGAACCACTTGGTTAGTTTGAGGGAGGAGCACCTTGAAGGGAAAGGTGACCTGTGAAACACAACACTTATCCATCCTCTTGTTCTTCACAGACATGCAATAAAAAAAATGACTGTTTCTAAGAAAGTATTTAAATCGTACACGATGATTTGTTATCCTAACTGATGAGGTGTTTTTTTCTTATAGGATGAACTTAAATCACTCTTTAGAGAGTATGTATTAGTAGCATAAGTCACTTTCCACTCCCTTCCCCCAGTTCCTAACTAAATTCAAATGAAAGCTTAAAAAAATCATAAGCTTCTTAAGGCTCTGAAACCGTGATGGTTTACACCTTATTAGGACCCATTTCCGGAGTTAGCTCCTCACGCCCCATGTCCTCCCGGCAGAAGAATGTCATCTGTCTCTCGGAAGGAGAGGGGTCCAGGAGCCTGCAAAGCGCACCTCGTGCTTGGCTGCCCTTCCTCGCTCAGCGTTTGCTGAACGGGCGTGCGCTGCATCTTCCAACGCCAGGACTCTCACTCTCTGCAAGTGCGTTAGTCCGGGTGCTCCTGTGGGTCCGAAAGCCCTTTGAAATTCTCCCCTTCCAATCTCTGCTTCTAGCATTCTCGCCTCCCAGCGCTTCATGCTACTGTCTGTTTTAATGCCACAGGGAAACAGCTGCGTGCCAGGTACCGTTTATCCGTGGATCGATCGATGTATAGGCGTGGTGAGTTTGGGAATTTATAGGAGAGCAAGACTTAGGAGTGGCATAAAGCATAGCTGCGGGTTTGGCTGAGAGGAAACATGACAGGTCTGTACCTGTGACCACCGAGCCCGCTCTGCACCTGTGCCCTCTGCTTTCCATCTGAGGCCAGGAGAACCATCTGCCTCTCACGAGCCTTAACCTCGAAGGGGGTGGGCGGGAGAACTGGTGGAATCAGGCAGCCCTCAGAACGTCCCTAAGTCCCCTCGTTCCTGCACCTCGGACTTTTCAGCTGCGGAAATGGAAGGTGGAGGCAGCCGCTCCCTCCCATCCCTAGGGGGCTGGGACTGGAGTTGCCAGTCTCGATTGCTCGCTCTCCCAGGGGAGAGGCGGCGCCTCGGGGAGCTGCAGCCCGAGGCCCCGAGAGCCTTCGCGGAGAGGAGCGCAGGACCGACGGGGAGCGCGCTGGCGCTCGGCTGCAGCCAGCTTCCCATCACTTTTCCCAATACTTTGCTCATCAGCTGTCGCGCTCTCTAGGAGATAAAAGCAAGGGGGCGCGAGAAAAGCTCCAAAGGCGCCCCCAGGAGAGCTCCCCTGTTGGGATGGGGGCCCATCAGACCCCGCCCCGCCCTGCCCACCTTCACCCTGCCTCTGACAGGCTGCCCGGGACGCCCGCGCCGCGGCTCCCAGCAAAGCGCCCGGGTTCTGCTGCATCTGCTGGCGCCGAGCGGCGAGAGGCGTCTGCAATAAAGGCACGGGTGAATAGCCTGGCAACGGATATCCGAATGCACCTCTTACCATTGGACCGCCGGACAATATTCTCCAGAAACGTGTTCTGCGGGGCCACCAGTCCCCTCCTGCCCCCGGCCATGGTCATCCTCCCTGCGACCCGGGGTTTGTGGGGCGTCCCGGCGCGGCTTCTCACGGCAGTAGGAAACTGGGCGCGGGGTCCGCGCGCGATGCGGGCAAAAAGCGCCCCATGCGCCCCACGGGGACCCGGGCGGGCAGGGGCGGCGGCTCCCTCCAGCTGCCACCCTCGCGCCCTCTTCGCGCCTCCCTCCCTGCGGCCCGCCTCGCAGTGCACTCGCGCGGGGCTCGGCTCCCCG